TCCTCCCTCCTCCCCCTCCTCCTCCTCCGCCTCCCTTCTCTCCTCCCCCTTCCCCCCCTTCCTCCTCCTCCTCCTCCTCCTCCTCCTCCTCCTCCTCCTCTTCCTCCTCTTCCTCCTCCTCCTCCTCGCCCTCCTCCTCCTCATCCTCCCCCTCCGTGGCCATTTAGCTCAAAATGAGTTTTGCCCCAGTGGAACGCATGGACGCCGCTAGCCCGCGGCAGTCAAGGCTGTTCAATTCGGGAGACACGCGCCCCGTCGTCGTCAGCGCGGCGGCGGCGCGAGCTCCCTCGCTCCGTTCCAAACAGTTATTGGGAAGGGCAGGGCAGCAGTTCGCGCCCTGCAAGGCCTGCGGCTACAAGCGAAATTTCGCCAAAAACACGTTCTGCCATCCGTGCCAGGGGCAACTGCAGCTTCGCGCTGTCGCCGCTCGCCCGCCCGCCGGCGCCTGGACTTCCCGCGTCGCGGGTTGCGTCGGCGGCGGCGGCGGCAACAAAGGCGGGTGGCGCCTTGCCGCGGCCGCCGCGCCCGAGGAGGAGCGGCAAGCCACGCAGGAGCAGCCGCCACCTTCGTCCACCGCGCGCGCCCTCGGCCAAGTCCATCGTCTGGGAGGCCGTGGACCTAGACGACCTCGGGGATGTCGAGGGGGGGGGGGGGCCAAGGCGCTGCTGGCCAAGCCGGGGCCGTTCTGGGCGCGGGTCGAGGAGGCCGAGCGCGGCGATCGGGCAGGCGGCGCCCCCGTCAGCCCCAGCTGCCCCGCCCGCGGCCCGAGCTGCCCCAGCCGAGAGAAGCCCCGCCGCGGCCGCTGCCCCCTCAGCGCCTGGCGCGGGCGAGCGGCGCCCCGGCGCCCCGGAGGGCGTGGCCAGCTCAGGCGGCGCCCCAGCCCTTGCGGCCAACCCCAGGCTGCAGGCAATCGCCCGCGAGCTGGCTCAGGCGCAGCTCGCCACTGAGCGCCTCCGGAGGGGTGCCGAGGTCCCTGAGGTCGGAGGCAGGAGCAGCGCCGCGGCCGCGTCCCCTGCTGCGTCTGTTCCTCGCGCTGGTGGCCACTCCAGCGGGCGATGGCGCCGCGGCTCCCGCCGCTGCCCAGGCGGGCCGCCGCCGCGGGCGCGCGCGCCAGCCTGAGTCGGAGGCGCAGGCCCGCATGTTCTTCGGGAGCACCGCGGAGCGCAGACCCACTGCCCGCCAGTTCCTCGCGGGCCGCGGCACCAGCTTCGACGTCGTGTTTTTTTTGTTCCGAGACCCGCGCGTCTCCATCGGCTGCGGAGTGGCACCAGGCCGACCCTCTAAGGAGCATTGGAAGGCTGCGGTCACTCCAGCTACCCCGTCGGGCCGCTCCGCCAAAGGGTTCACAGGCGGCGAGATGCTGGCCGCCAAGAAGACCCTCGCCAAAACGACCTTCGAGGGACCCCGCTGTGCCAACCTCGCTGCTGCCCAGCAGCCACCCTTCCTTCGGCCTTGTCCTGATGGTCTAGCACTTGCAGCAGGGGGGCACCCTCGCGGCCGTAGCCCACCTGGTACCAGGACTTCGCTTTCGCGGGGCCAACCAGCAGAGGCTGGCGTCGATGGCCGCCTTCTTGTCTCTCATCAGAGACCCGTTCGCGATCGTCGCAGATTGGAACGTGGAGCCCCCGACTGGAACGATGCCGACTGGCTGCCACGCCATGGGGCCACCATCATCACACCTCACAACGCGAAGGCCACGTGCGACAAGGGGAAGTGTAGGATGCACGACTGCGTGCTCGGCTCTTCGGGGCGCAGCGAGCGCGCGAAGGTCGCCGCCGAGCTCAGCGTCGCGCGTTGCGCGGCGCACGCGCTTCGGCCTGGTGCTCAAGTTTACATCCAGCCACCGCCGCTGGCACCATCAGGTGCTGGTCCTGCCGACAGCGCTGCCGTCGCGCCGCCCGCCGAAGGCGACGGCGGACCCCGCCCGCTACCGTCGGCGCAAACTCGCCGAGCAGGCGCGCAAGCGGCGCGAGGCGCTGCCGCGCCTGCATGGGCGAGCGCGACGCCGAGAACGGCTGGACCACGGCCACCCTCCTCCTCGATATCGGGAAGTTCTACGAGTCGATCTCCATCGTCCACATGATGGCCGCCGCCGCGCAGCAGGGTTTCCCCGCCGTCGTCGCAGCTCTGGAGGTGCAGCTGTTCGCAGGGCCCCGCCATTTCCGTCGGCTCCAAGCCGAACGGTCCGCGGTGGCGGGGTCCTGCCATGGCGGCAAGATGGCCAAGGCGCCGCTCGGGCCAGTGATCGCTCGCGCGCGCCGCGCCAGCGGGCGGGCCCAGCCGTGGACGTTCATCGACGATGCTGTGCTCCCCCTCCTCCTCCCACCCTCCTCCATCCTCCTCCCTCCTCCTCCTCCTCCTCTCCTCCTCCTCCTCCTCCTCCTCCTCCTCCTCCTCCTCCTCCTCCTCCTCCTCCCCCCTGCCCCCTCCCCCCTGCACCCTCACCCCGCCGCGAGACCCGAGGCGGCGACAAGGGCAGCCTCTCGAAGCAGGAGGTTGAGGCGGCGCTCCTGCGGCTACAGGCCGACCCACCCCCGCCGCCCCCTCGACGTCCGCACGCGCGCGCGAGCGCGCGAGCACCAAGCTGACGTTCGCGTGTCGTCGTCAACGTCGTTGTCGTCGTTGTCGTTGTCGTTGTGTTTGTCGTTGTCGATGTCGTTGTTGTCGTTGTCGTCGTCGTCGTCGTCGTCGTTGGTGCCGTTGTCGTCCTTGTCGCTGTTGTTGTCGTTTGTCGTTGTTGTCGTTGTCGTTGTCGTTGTCGTTGTCGTCGTTGTGGTTGTTGTCGTTGTCGCTGTCGTTGTCGTTGCCGTTGTTGTTGTCGTTGTTGTTGTCGTTGTTGCTGTTGCTGCTGTTGATGTCGTTGTCGTTGTTGTTTTTGATGTTGTTTTTGCTATCGTTGTCGTTCTCGTTGCTGTTGTCGTTGTTGTTGTTGATGTTGTTCTTGCTATCGTTGTCGTTCTCGTTGTGGTTGTTGTCGTTGTCGCTGTCGTTGTCGTTGTCGTCGTTGTGGTTGTTGTCGTTGTCGCTGTCGTTGTCGTTCTCGTTGTTGTTGTCGTTGTTGTTGTTGCTGCTGCTGATGTCGTTGTCGTTGTTGTTGTTGTTGTTGATGTTGTTCTTGCTAGCGTTGTCGTTCTCGTTGTTGTTGGTGTCGTTGTTGGTGTTGTTGTTGTTGCTGTTGTTGTTGTTGTCGTTGTTGTTGATGTTGTTGTTGTTGTTGTCGTTGTTGTTGTTGTTGTTGGTGGTGGTGGTGGTGTTGTTGTCGTTGTTGTTGGTGTTGTTGTTGTTGATGTTATTGTTCTCGCTGTCGTCGTCGGCGGCGGCGGCGGTGCCGCGCCTCCGCCGCTGCACCGGGCGCGAGCGCGCACGCGCACCCGCGAGCCGTCGCCCCCCGGGCGGGCGGGCCGCGCTCCCGGGCGGCCTGCGGGCCGCCCGGGAGCACGGCAGAGCACGGCAGGGCACGGCAGAGCAGAACGGGGAGGCTCCTCCTCCTCCTCCTCCTCCTCCGCCTCCTCCTCCTCCTCCTCCTCCTCCTCCTCCTCCTCCGTTTCCTTATCCTCCTCCCCCTCACCTTCCGTCCAGGCCCCCGCCGATGTGGTGGCGTGCTGCCGCTGTTGCGGCCACTGCTGCGCGCTGCCGCGTTCGTGCTCGAGCCCGCTTGCGTGGGACGCGGTTGTGGCCCCCATGAGGGGAAGCCCAATCCCAAAAGCGCGAGGGCCAAAACAGAACGCAGGCTCCTCGAGTCGTCGGGGAGGGAGATTGGGGGGCCTAGGGTTTTACCAGGGTTACAACGACGAGCACAAAACATACCCCGAAATCTTTGGCCGATTTTCGAATCCTCGGTGAATCCGCGATTTTGGGGTTGGGGATGTGTTTTTCCTTTGTCAATCAGCACCTTCCGTCCAGCCCCCGCCGATGTGGTGACGTTAGCCTGGCCGGCCACTGGTGTGCGCTGCCGCTGTCGTGCTCGAGCCCGCTTGCGTGGGACGCGGTTGTGGCCCCCATGAGGGGAAGCGGATCTGAAGCTGAATGCCCCTGGACGGGCAACGTGCGCTTGTGCTCCGGCCTGCCCCTCCTCGCTTCTCGGGAAGGCATCATCGCCTCAGTTGCCGTTTTGAAACGCCGCACGTCCCGTGTTGAAGACGTCCGTGTCGATACGTTGCGTGTTGGCTCCACGCATTTGACCATGCTGTGGCGAAAGCATCGCGTCGGACCTGCGTTGTCAGCCCACGTGTGGAGCTCCGTATCAGTACGATACGTGTTGCGTGTTGCGTATCGAGGCAGCTAAGATCATCACATACTGGGGCAACGCATAGTATACTAACGCATACCGTGACAGAGCGTAACATAGCAGTGCAGCGCATAACGTGACATGACATAGCATAGCATTACACAGTGCAGCGCCGCCTCCGTGCATGCAGAGGAAGACATCATGGTAGCAGATCCCCGCTGCATCCCCGAGGCATCCCCGAGGCAGCGTCGATGCATCGGCGGTGCGGCGAGATGCTCCGACCACATCTGCTCCGACCCCGTCTAGGAGGCCTCCAGTATCGCAGATCCACGGCGGCGGATCCAGGCCGTCTGCGAGTTCTTACTCCGCGAGTAGGGAGACGCGCTTGTCTACTCCCTCTGTTTCGCTTCTGTCGGTCGCAAATCATCATGGGAGCCTGGTATGCCCTCTTAGGTCCGTATTTAGCGTCGACAAGCGTCGATCAGCGTCTGGGAGCCGATGACATGACACAGCGCCGATTTAGCGTCTGTTGGCGTCGACTTAGTTTCGATTCGCGTGGATTTAGCCTCGACCAGCGGCGATTTGCAAGAGCCGACCAAATGGTATGCGAGCCTCCTATGAGTTGCCACCGAACCCATACCGCTCTACCCTTCCCTCGTTTTCCTTCTCTTGGGCGTCATGGGAGGCCCGCGTCGCCACCGCTGGACTAGCCTCGAAATTCTGGTCAGAACGCACCCCGTGCAATCAGAGGAGGACAAGGTACCCACACCACTACCCTTCCCTCGTTTTCCCTTTCTTGAGTCCCCACCGCTGGATTCGCTTCGAAATTCAGGTCAGAACGCACCACGTGCATTCAGAGGAGGACAAGATACCCATACCACTACCCTTCCCTCGTTTTCTGCTGGATTCGCTTCGAAATTCTGGTCAGAAAGCACCCCGGGAGAGGTCCGTGGAGTAACGGTATCGGTACCTTGTGATTTCCCCATGCATGCTGGAAACGCCTACTCCAGGTCTCTCAATAAGCGTGGGGGGTGGATCGCGTGGGGGGGTGGGAAGCCGCTGTACTTCGGGGGGCGTGGGGAGGTTGGGGAGCGAGGGGCGTCGGGAGGCGGGCAAGGGGCTAGGTGCTTATTGAAGGGCCTGGAGTAGGTGGCACTTTCCAGAAAGAGCCTCGCCTTCGAGTGTCGAAGGAGTTGGCATCTCTTCCTCGGCGGAAGATCGGCGGAAGCTGGCGGAAGTAAAACTAGGGCGGCGCCGATGGCGGAAGCCGGCGGAAGTCTGGCGGAGAGTGCGGGAGTAAGACATGCGCCCCCAAGAGAGGGCCACATTTTTGGGGTCATGTTTTCCAGAACCTGCCATGTGGTCAAACGCTGGGCCACAGTTTGACCAAATTGTTGTGCGATGTTTCCCCCCCGCCGTTGTGGAACTCTTTTGGGCGCCACTAGGGGGAGGAGGGGAGGAGGAGGAGGAGGAGGAGGAGGAGGAAGAGGATGAGGGGGAGGAAGACGACGAGGACGAGGACGATGAGTAGGATAGGGAGGAGGAATCATCTTGGGGGCCTCTAGGGGCCTCTTGGGGGCCTAATGGAGCCGTCTTGGGGCCGTCTTGGCCCGTCCGACGCCTGCGGAGGACGTCGTTGGGGCCTCTCTGGGCTTTCTTGGGGCCCTCTTGGAGCATGGTCTTGCCGTCTTAGAGGTCCCGGGGGCCGTGTTGGAGCCCCAGGACGTGAGGGAAGAGGAGGACGAGAAGGAGGAGAAAAAGGGGGAGGAGGAAGCGGAAAGCCTTAGGTGTCCTGTTCGTGCTCCTCATGTCTTCTCTTAGCCTATTATGCCGCCCATCTGGGGTTTGGGTACTCCTCCTCCTCCTCTTCCTCCTCCTCGTCGTCCTCCTCCTCCAGCTACGACGGCGAAATAATGCACAGGTCGGGTTCGGAAGGGTCTCGCGCTTCCTCAGATTCGTCCATCGTTGCTCCTCCAGCGCTCTTCGTGCACCCAGGCGCTCTTGGGACCAGAGAGGGGCTTCCTTTATTATTTCGCGTGTTTTGTTGTAGTTGCGCCGGCGCGCTCAGCTTGGAATTATTCCGCGTCTGAGTGCCCTCCGCCTCCTCATGCCCTTCGCGGCCGTCCGTCCATCTTTCTGCCCCCTTGCACGCTGGCCAGTTCGCGCATCGGCTGCCCCGGATCTCTGCTCGCGCCGCCGACGCAGAGGTTTTGTTGCAGCAGGTTCCTCACCCTCTTCCGGGTATAGCCAGGACCCCGGGTAAGGGGACCTGGTTAGTGGTAGGGCTTTGAGGCCCCTCAACTGGCCAGACTCACTAAACCAGGTTTGCCGTAACCTTGTGTTTTTCGGGTGACGGCAGTTCCGGTTAGCGGAACGGGGCGGGGGGGGCGCCCCCCGGTACACATCACTAAACCATTTGGACGCCCGAAATGGGCACGGAAACAATGGGTACAATGCCCAACAGCAAATGCTGTCCCAAACCAACAGCGGCCGCTGTTAGGCAGGAGGCCTCCTGTCTCAAACGTACACGGGCCGCGGCGACACCGACAGCGAGTCCTGCTCAAAATGAGCAAGAACTGCTGTTGGGCACTGTACCCATTCTTTCCGTACCCATGTCGGGCGTCGAAAAACCAGGTTCCACGAAGCCCTATTCTGCCAACGACCGCCTCCCTCGTCCTGCATGCCGGGCAGGCTCCTCTTCCCGCCCCCCCGAGCACCTCCCGAGGGCGCCAGCGGCAGCACCAGCCTCGACGAGGTGCGCCACCTGCGGAGGCAGCTCCGCCAGTTCAGCTCCCCCGGCGCCGAGGGCTGAGAGGTCGCTGGACGTCCACGCACCACCTCGCCGATCCGTATCAAGCAGTGGCGAAGCGTCCCGGCTCGCTTATAGCCCCACGAAACACTGTTCTAAGAGCCTTTTGTGGCTCCCACGAAATATTCTTAGAACATTTCTGGCTGGGACTGTTTTATTTTTGCACATCGGGCTTATGTTCTAAGAACATTGTTTTTGTTCTTAGAACATTTTTGGGTTCTAAGAACATCACGTGGTATGGCTATAGGAATGCCGGGACGGTCGGTCCCTGCTCAACCTTAGGGGGCCACGTGCGAACCCTACCCCTACCCCCCAGGATTTCTGAGGGGGAGTGAAGCCCACCCTCCCCCTCGGAACTCCTGGGGGGTAGGGGTAGGGTTCGCACGTGGCCCCCTAGATCCTGGCCAGGCCGACCCTGGGCCCTGGATGGACGTCTGCGCCTCCGCGCCCAAGCCAGGAGGGC